AGAACTTCATCCGTCATTTGAAATCGCCAGTTGGGGCACCAATCTTATTTGTAAAGAAGAAGGATGGCTCACTACGGATGTGCGTGGACTATTGAGGTCTCAACAAGGTGACAAAAAAGAATCGCTACCCACTGCCTTTGATCTCTGGTCTTCTAGAACAACTTGGGCGTGCAAGGATCTTTACAAAGATTGACCTAAGGGGAGCTTACAACCTTGTGCGAATCAAGGAAGGAGATGAATGGAAGACAGCTTTTCGAACAAGGTATGGCCATTTTGAATACAATGTCATGCCATTTGGTCTTACTAATGCTCCAACTGTCTTTCAACACATGATGAATGACATCTTTCGAGAGCATCTAGACGATTTTGTTGTCATCTATCTAGATGATATTTTGATATTTTCTAAGAACGAGGAAGAACATGAGAAGCACGTTCGTCTGGTACTCAAAAAACTACGGGAGCGAGGACTCTATGCCAAATTGGAGAAGTGCTTATTTCACCAAATTGAGATGGAGTTTTTGGGATTCATCGCGACTATGGAAGGCTTGAAGATGGATCCAAAGAAGGTGGAAGCAATCATGTCTTGGGAAGTTCCGAAGACGGTTAGGGACGTACAATGTTTTCTTGGATTTGCTAACTACTATCGGATCTTCATCAAGAATTATTCTCAAGTTGCTGCCCCCCTCACTCGGTTAACGTGCAAGGACAAGCTCGAATGGGGACCTATCACAGAAAAAGCATTTCAAGATTTAAAGATGGTATTTACTACAGCTCTAATCTTGGTACATCCGGACTTTACAAAGGCCTTTTATTTGGAGATAGATGCTTCGGATTTTGCTTTGGGAGCTGTACTTTCACAGATGGGCGTAGATGAGAAGCTCCATCCAGTTGCGTTCTATTCTCGAAAATTCTCTGCTGCTGAGATCAACTATGAGATCCACGATAAAGAACTTCTTGCTATAGTAGATTCTTTCCAAGAGTGGCGCCACTTTCTCGAAGGAACTGCACATCCAGTGACCGTATATACGGATCACAAGAATTTGGAGTATTTTATGTCGGCTCGGGTTTTGAATCGGCGTCAAGCTCGGTGGAGTATGTCGCTATCCAGGTTCGACTTTATTATTACTTATCGACCTGGGAAGCAACAAGGGTTGTCCGATGCATTATCAAGGAGATCATATCTCGTGCCAAAGGCTGGAGATGCAGCATTTGATCAACAGTGCACGACATTGTTGAAGCCAGAGAAATTTTGGCTCAACGCAGCAATTGTACCAATTGATGCTCACTTCCTCGACCAGGTACGGGCCGCAACCATTGAAGATTCTCTAGCCCTTGATATCAAGTAACATGCTAGTGATGATAAATTCAAGATGGAAGGAGATCTAGTATATTTCGAAGAGCAGTTGTATATCCCAAAAGGACCAGCACGACTCCGAGTTCTTCAATCTCGTCATGACTTTCCAGATGTGGGACACTTTGGATTCAATAAGACCTTGGAACTTATTTCCCGCGATTTTTGGTAGCCTCAAATGTGGAAGGATGTGAAAGATTTTGTTGTATCTTGTGACATTTGTTCAAGATCCAAAAACCCTCGACATCGGCCTTATGGACTTCTACAGCCATTGCCTATTCCGCGCCGACCATGGTCTTCGGTTTCCATGGACTTTATTACGGATCTACCACCATCGAATTCATTTGACAGCATTTTTGTTGTCGTAGACCGACTTACAAAGATGGCACATTTTATCCCTTGCAAGAAGACATCGTCAAGCGAAGACACAGCAAGACTCTTTCTTGATAATGTGTATCGATATCATGGTCTACCAGATGATATCGTATCGGATCGAGGAACCCAGTTTGTGTCAAAGTTTTGGAAATCTCGTTTTGAGATATTGAAGGTGGATATCAAGCTTTCTTCGGCATTTCATCCTCAAACGGACGGCCAAACAGAACGGGTGAATCAAGTTTTAGAGCAATATTTACGTTGCACCATCAACTATCAACAAGATGATTGGGCCGCATATCTACCGCTAGCCGAGTTCGCATATAACAACACCCTTCATGCGTCAACTCAACAAACGCCATTCTTTTCCAATTATGGATACCATCCGAAGCTTGACTTATGGAGTTCGTCAACGATTAACAATCCGGCAGCTGAAGGATTGGTGAAGGAGCTTTCGCAGCTTCAAACTACATTGAAGCTTCAATTGCAAACTGCCCAAGAATCTTACAAGGCGTCTGCGGATAAATTTCGGAATCAGGCACCTAAATTCACGATTGGAGACAAAGTTTGGCTGCTTCGACGAAATATTAAGACCAAGCGGCCATGTGACAAATTGGACTATCGGAGATTGGGACCATTTGTTATCCAGAAGCAGATCAATCTTGTAGCGTATCGTCTGGAGTTACTAGCTACTATGAAGGTACATCCTGTCTTTCATGTTTCTTTGTTGGAGCCTTATCGAGAATCGTCTTTTCATGGAAGAGTACAATGTCCACCACCTAGCATAGAAATAGAGAACCACGAAGAATACGAGGTGGAAAAGGTCCTGGATTCACGACAAAGACGGGGTAAATTAGAATACTTTGTGCATTGGAGCGGTTACGATATTAATGAACGAACATGGGAGCCGGCTGAAAATCTCGCGAATGCGCCGCAAAAGGTACAGGAGTTTCATCGACGATATCCTGAGAAACCCAAGCCGGTTCGACGATAGCTTCTTACTGAAGCTTGCTCATCCAGAAAACAGAAAAGAGGAGAGAGCACCACCAAAATCCATAGTTGATGTAGTCATTCTCTCCAAAATAGCGTAGAACTTTGTTAATAGCCCAAGTTTGTTCTTATTGTTTTAGCCTTTGAATATGGATAGCCAAGATACTACACTTGTCATGTCATCTCAAGCAACTAGCTCACGAAGACGACCGCGAGATGAAGAACCGCCTGCACCACGACGACGTCGAAGGATTCCGAGCAATAGATCGCTGGTGATTGTATTTGAGGTCGAGCCTGCCTACAATGGTCAGCCAGAAGGAGTGTTTGCAGGACAATTTCACAATGAAGACACGGAGGTTCATGCTTGGTCAGAAGTTGAAGGCGTGGGCCACTACCGTTGGCTTCAAGGACCATTGAATCACTTGCCTCGTGAACAACAATTGGAATTCATAGCAGAGGTTATGCGACAGATCTTCATTTTCTTGCGTTGGTATTGACTGACGATAACATTGCTTCTCGGAGACCTCGAAGCTAAAGGAGGAGGTGATGTTAGGGACATAGTCTTTAGACCTTTCTAGAGACAAGTTTCTAGAACCTTCTAGAAAGAAGTCTCTAGAAACTTCCAAAAGATTCCTTGAATATTCTCTTGGAATATTCTTCAAAGATTTCCTAGAGATTCTTTGAAGATTTCCTAAAGATTCCCTTAAAAGGCTCTAGTAGATTCTAGGAAGTTACTTGAGAAGCTTCCTAGCTCTTAGGTAGTTGCTCGAGAAGCTTCATAGTTCTTGGGAAGCTTCTTGATACGCTCCCTTAGAACCATAGGCCAGTAGTATATATAGGAGTCGAAGCTGAAGAGTTCTTCAGTCTCGACAACGCATCTCTTGAAGCTCTAGCTCAATTCTCTTGGCGTTGCTCTTGTACTCATCTGATAATCTAGTTCTTGTCATTTCTTCTTGAACTTCTTGTTTAGATTTCTTGTTTGTATTTTTGGTCCGTGACACCATAACTTTTTTTCCATCTTTATAACAAATAACTTTAAAAAAAAATTTAAGTTAGATTAAATGAGGATCATTTGCAACTTCTAATATCAAATAAAAATTTCTAAAAAGAGAAGTAGTTTACTTGTTTTATGAAAAGAATCAATATTAGAAAATATAAAAAAATATTAGTATAAAAATAGGTAGTCAACAATTTATAAATTACAACAAAAGAAGTAGAATAATATAATAATTTTTAAAACAATACAAGAATAATAAATTAGAACTCTTTTCAAATTATCAAGGATATGAATTTCAAACAATAAAATCCTCAAAACTTTCTTGTATTACTTAAAAAGAATAAATATTTAATCAATGATAATATAGTATTGGAATTAGACTAGTTATTGCAAAAGAAAAGAAGACTAGAGACTTTTGAAACAAGACTAAGGACAAGAAAGGTATTGATAAGTGTGAAGAAGGCTTCACTCTATCTTCCATATATACTTTCTAACTAGGAGCTAAGTAGCGATGTTCTATGGGAGCTTTGATACATGTTCAACTAACAAGACACATGTCTAACTTATAAGACAAATTTCCTACATGTACACCACATGGCCAACTTGTACTACAAATCACTAAAATATGCAATACTTGGCAAAGTTTCTAATATATCAATCAACTGTAAGTACATTTAAAGTCAAATCCATGTCTATGAAGCTTCAAAGAAACTTTTCCATAAGATATTATTAAAATTTTAAAATTTTTTTTATTTAGATAATTTTGTATGTTTGTGACATTAAAATATTATTAAAAATAAATGGTGATAATTTAAAAATGATATTAAATTATATTTTATAAAAAAGATTCGATATCATATTTAAATTATCATTTTGTATTATTATTTGAATAATTTTTGATGAAAAAATATGAATCATCTTAAAATATTATTTATCTTTTTTATTTATTAATTGTATTAAAAGAATAGTTGAAATTTTTGGTGAAAATACAATATAAGTATTTTAATGCAGTTTGCCAAACATGAAAAGTATAGTAATAAGTACAGGATTAAACATTGCTCTCTTTCTTGTCTATTGTTAATTTATAAGAATAATTGAAAGAATAAACCACCTTAGAATAGTTACTATTATCATTATAGCCTTTCCATCGGGCTACCAGCTCGGCTGCTGCCCGTGAAACTGCATAACCCACGCTGCCCTAGTACTTTTATATAAAATACGAAAACATATGAGATATATCATACAGATACGAGATACACATACATAGGTAAGAGTACGAGTACACTATACGAATACGGTACGGCTATGGTTGGGGAAGAGAGTGGGAGTGGGAGAGCGGGGCAGTGCCGCGGCGCTGTTCTGGTGGCAGCGATGGCGGACCTTGCTCAGGATGTCGACGATGAAGCCGGTGAGGAGACGCTGGTCTTCACCTTGCACCTCGACAAGCCTCTCAGCTCGCAGGTATCTCACATCCACAAACTAAATAACCCACACTCACACTTACACACAAATGGGAGTATTGCTGCCATACTTTCTTCCTCGTTTTTCCCCATCGCTTCTCAGGTATCGCATGTCGTTGCTTAAACCCCCTCTCTGTTTTGGCGATTATGTCTCTGGGATCGGGGTTTTCCCGTCTGTATTGGAGAAGCTCGTTTTGCCGATGGAATGTGCTGCTTTTAGATTGCGCCCATAAGAATGTCTTGGCGATGGATGTGTGTCCAGTTGCATGAGAGTCTTGGAGTTTTTCGAGCTGCAATTACTCTTGTTGGTTGTTTCGTGGGAGTCGCTGGGCATTCGTTCGAGGTGATGTCGAGGGTGTTGCTATTGTCATTCTTCTTGCACTTCGTGTGTCGTGAATCCAAAGCCTCGTGGTTCAAGTTGTTCTTTTGGTGAATGCAGTGCTTCTGGTGTACTATTCTGACGATGCGATTGCTCGTGTCATCAAGTTATATGGTATCATAAAAAGTCTGAAAAAGGTGGTGGCAGTTCTGAACTTTTCCACATCAGAAAAAAATATTCTGCTCAGTAACTGCGCATGTTTTGTCTATTTCGAAGGTGGAGAAGGCAGCATGGAATCCAGACAAGGATTTGCTCGCCATGGTCACTCGAGACCATCAAATCATTGTGCACCGATTAAACTGGCAGCGACTTTGGGCGATTTCTCCAGGTCAGGGGTGCCCACAAGACTTGAAGCCTCGTTATGCATTATAGGATAGTTGAGCTGTGTAGTGCGTGTTAAGATGCCTCTTTCTCTCTAGGTAAATTTGTATTTTAAATCGCTGTTGTGCAATGCTTTACGGTGAGCACTTGATCGTTAGGAATGCAAACCCCAGCAAAGTAATGAAATTGCTTTGCGTCATGATGCATTCGCGTGATATCACCTAGTTAGGGGATTATCATCTTGCACTAGTGACATTTGTCCAAATTGTTTCAGAAATGACAGTTACTTCACTTTGCTGGCGTCCCGATGGAAAGGCTTTGGCAGTCGGACACGATGATGGCAGCATCGCAATTCATGACGTTGAGGTGTGGTTCTTAGTAATACATGTGCAGCTTATAACTAAAATTCAAAATTTGTGGCACTAAGGAAAACCTTACAAAACCGTCGTGAATCTATTTTTTCAGAATGGTGATGTATTGCGACAGCAAACAACACACGATGCGCCGGTCGAATGCTTGTATTGGGCTATGGAGGGACATCAATCAGTGGTATGTATCTGACGAGTGAAAGTTTATGATTCGTTCAGCCAGCTCCTTTTTGGCTGAGGTTTTTGTGGCTCCTTCTATGTTGTGCAAGCTCAGCGTGTATGATTGGGCCTGGCTGCACATGTATTTATCTTCTGTATATTTAATGTACATGGGTGGGTTTCTTAGGGTCACGAAGATGATGTCTTCTGCTACGAAGATCGAACCCCAAGATTCTTTCCGTCACCTCCACATGCTCCTCCTTTGCCTGGAACGGTCTCATCTTTCGATATGTCTGGAGTATTAGGTCATGCTGCTGAAGACCAAACCTATGCTAATCGGAAGAATGTGCTTCGAGCTATTCATGAACGACTTTATATTCTCTGCAGTGGAGATCGAAATGGCACCATTTGCTTAAGTGCATTTGGTGTTTTTCCTATTGGAAAGTTGGTGAGCGGACTTGCTGTTTCTTGACACCCCCTTGCAAGTTTGGTAAGTGTAGCATGGAATTGTTTATGTTCAATGACCTTACCAGATGGATCGAAATTGGTTTGCAGGACATCAGGGACCTATCTATAAATGGAATGACATCTGACTACAACATCGTGGCAAAGCCAATATACCGACTTCTGGATGCCTCAGTTCAACAGGTGGGTCATTCACGTCGCATCAACCATTTGCTAAAAATGGATGTAGCACTGGAACTTGTTGAATGCTGTCGATTCTAAGTGGTCCTGCAAAATTATGGATTTCATGTTGTGATTGTGGATATTTTTGTGAAAACTTGCCTTTGCATGGGGTGTGTGGAAGCAGGTCGCTTTGTCAAAAGACCTCCGCAACATGACAGTGATTTGTAGTGGAGTCCAATCGGTGGCGAGCTTGCATGTTATGGCAGGTGCTGAGTCTAGGGCAACTGGACTATATGCCATTTCTATTGACACTTCCCTTCTAGGAGATAGGTAGTTCTCCAACAATGCTTTCACTTGTATTATCTTGCACACTCATTTAGATGCTTTTGGTGTTCTCGAGTGAATATACTTTCATTCATTTGAAGGTCGAGCTTGTAAGTCTAACAGCGGATACTTTTTTAGTTGCTATTGAAATTGATGGATGGATTCGTCGCGTGACAGGAGAAAGGAACTGCGTCAAGTGGCGCTTCAGGCTTCCAAGGTGGAAGAGTTGTTAGAAGTTGTTGAGGCCACCGTGATGGTGATGCGCAAGCATTGGAGCGATGCTATTTCTTCATTTGAAAACAAATTTCGAACTTTTTCTACCTTGCTTACAGAGCATGGTAATGGTCATACTGTATCTTATGGACAATCTTAATTAGGTTGTAAAGCATTTTTCCTTGAAGATAGAAGAAATTGCTACTTCATGTTTTCTAGCAGAGATCGTTGCAGTAGGTTATCGTTTTGGGTTTTGTGAAGTGGTATCTCTTGAATCAGGAAAAAAATAATGTATCAATAGAATGTGTTTTGTTTGCTAATGATGGTGTATATTTTGGCAGGTTCACATGTGAAGCCTCGTGATGAATTTTTAAGTCTTCTTGCCTGTGGCTCCGCAAGTGCGGCGTTGCACCAATTTCTTGCTGCTTCTTTGGGAGAAGCAGTAATTTACCAACTGTTTTTCTTGTTGCTGTTTTGCACATTGTAAAACTTGAAACGTTTCTTTGTCACTGATTGTAACAACCACGAATGTTTCGTTCAAACCCACTGAGGCAGCTAAGGCTAGTGCATCAGAAACTAATGCCTTATTACTTCTTGACAACTTCAAATGTCATGCTCAGATAACCAAATGCATTAAGTATTTGATTCGAGGTTGGGAACAAGTGCAAAATCAACATTTGCGGGTCTGCGTAAGGGTACCTTCTGACGATAGTTATTTACGTGCTTTGAACGCCGTCTTTTCAGGGACTGAAACGGCTGGCAAAGAGTATTGATACTGCTGGAAGGGAACTCCACAACCTCATTGCAGAACATTTGCAGGCAATAAAATTATTTTCATTATTACTATTATTTATAAATTGATTGCTTTCGCATTTATGTAGTATCTTTCTTATAAATATTTGCAGAAGTTCCAAAGGTAATATGATCATAGTCTCATACACCTGTAGAATCTTTGATTTGTTCTCTTAGACTTGGAAATTCGACCTTGTCCGACAGGCCTCTGTGTGCTTAACACTGTTCTCTGGAACTTGTTCATGAACAGCCAGCAGCTGAGCTCATTTCTTTCATAATTGGTGAACTGCGAGGTCTCTCCCGATGGAGGTCGCGTCTGCGTAGAATTGGACTTCATGAAACTCTCCTTGAACAAGCCATGGAGAATGCTGGCATGCTCCTTATTCAAGTTGAGCGCCTTTTGCGCATTGTCTCTGACACGAATGGCCAGGTTCGTTTCTCACCAGTTCTATACTGGTTCATTTATGCAGTGAGTTGACACCTTCTAGATAAAAACTATTTTAGCATATTCGTTACTGCAGATGCAAGTCTCTAGGTCATCATTGCCAAAATCTAACCTTGTATCTTGGTTGTACTTGTTTTCAGTTTCGGCTCTTTTTCGTTTGGCTCACAAAGTCGTTGCGTCAATTAAATGGTGATACTGGACCACAAGCTAGCCAGCTTCCGGCCATTGACAGGTTGGTTAACTGCCCGTTAAATTTTCACAATTGTTGTAATTCTTAATACCCTTGAAGAAATGGGACTAAGTTGTAGGCAATATAGCCGGAGCTATAATTTTTATACCAAACATCTTTTGTATGACAGTGCAGGGGTTGCAGACTTTTTACGTACTCACTTTGAGAAGGATCCAATCGGCCCACACCTTGCACCCGCCTCGGATGAACTTACTATGGACGTCAACGTGTAAGTTCTTTCTTTCAATGCATGGGCAAAAAAATTCCAAGTTAACGTGGGTGCTGTGCATCTTTTCTCTCTTTTAAATATGCAAACTATTTGAAATTGTAGGCTGGGACTATTGCTGGGCTGTCAAGCGAGAAAATGAGTTATTTGTAATGCCTACACATATGGGTTTTTTTGCTCGTAGCGAGGAGCAGGCTAGGATGGAGGAACTAGCGATAATGGGAGGATTTGCAGATACTAAGTTTTTAACCAGAACTTTATCCTCCCAAGTTCATCGGCTTCGAGCTAGGTCTGAGACCCTTGATAACTACTTTTTCTTCTTTGAAGATATTTACATTATTCTGCCGATTTGATTTTTTAAAAAAACATGGATGTTTTTTGGTACGAGAAGCCTTTCAGACCAGTATGTCCAGGTTTTCCTTATCTGGTTGCTTACAAGTATTTGGTGTTGTTTCGACTGCGAACAGCTGTCAGGAGGCATTTCAAATGCCAGTCAAAGAAGTGTCTCCTAATCTTCGACCCCGGTGCATGTTGTTGTTGTTGTCTCCTTTGCCGTCATTACCACCACCTTCGACCGTACCACTTTCTCTCACCTACTTCGAGGTTTCATCTCATTTCCCAATCCTACGAAGTTCTAAATTGAATCATAGTACACTGTATCTATCAGTTATTTAACTCAAAAAATGCTAAGACAAGATTTTTCTTTTCTAAAAAGCTTTCTGTTTGCATCTTATCCTCTCTGATTTTGTTTATCCCTCTGCACTGGAGCAGACCGATTCAGGAAGCAAAATGAAGGACATCCTCCTTGAAGACTACATTTGTTTACGAGTGCAGGATGATACAAATTCAACTGATCAGAGTTCTGTGATAATATTGCGAAGCTTCGCAGTGTCGGGGCACTGCGCACCAGGAGGAAAAGGTTTAGAAGTGTTTGCGTTGCAATTGGAGAAGACTCTGCACTGTATTGACTTGGCTCTTTACAAGGTGATTTCATGCTAAGTGATTGCCTTGTTATAATTTAAAGCAAAAGTGCCATATCTTTGAAATATTTCTCCTGGAAAACCAGACAATTGTGGCATTCAACCTTTTTCGTGATTCCCTCGTTACGTTTGGAAGTGAGTGATGTCTTACCTGTGAACAATTTATCATGACAGCAAAAGCAAGTTATACTGTTAGTAAGCGAGAAGGATCCGGAGGACACTGGGAAGATCGTTCAAACATACTTAATGATGCTCCAACTGGAGGACCTTGAATTTGTGGCGTTGTCCTCTACCAGTACCCACATGAGTCGTGTGTCCTTGTTGCATTTGTGCTCCAATCTTGTAAGTTCAAGCTTTGAAGAAGTTTCAGATTCCTCTGCTTTTTATACTTCTGAACATTGTTATCAAACTCGTTTACTTTGTCGCTTCTAGAGTATGACTATTGTCATGCTGATATTGATATTGCTGTTAGTGTTGAGAGAATTTGCAAACCATGGGCTCTGGTTTTGATTCAGATGCAGACTTGCTTGCCAGTTATCACATATCACTTTTACTACTAAGAGGAAGTAATCATCTCTTATATTATGAGCAGGGAGCAGTTACGGTTGTTGGTTTAAACAGTGGTAAAGTAAGGGCTATTCAACAGGTTGATGCAGTTCCTCCCTTGGCTGTTAGTGGTAAGCACCCCTTTTTAACCATCACAGTACTGTCACCGAGCTACGCCATTTCGCTTGTCTCCTGTTTGACATATGATTCATGAAATTTAGATTTAGAAACTGAATGCTGGCAAGGCACGTTTAGCTTAAGCTGGACGTTTCATGAGAAGTTCACTGTTGAGTTGCACTATGATTACTTATTACTTGGAAACCTGAATTGTTGAAACAGCTTCTCGGGGTCTGGCATGTGTCTTTGCTGGGCAACGGCGTGCGCTGCTTTACGACCTGGAGGAGGACGAAGAGGACAAAGACGACGATGATATGGAGTGATGCTGGCTCTGAAGCTGCACTCATATTTGCACCTGGTTCAGAATTCTCTTGAAACTCTCGAAGTCGTCTCTCAATCTCAAATCTGGGGTATATAACCAACTCACTTTGCAGTAGTTGGTCTGGTTTGACAATCATTTGAGGGCTTTTTCTGGTTGGCAGTTAACACTGTTCAAGCGTTTGCTCTTGGTTCTTTGTCTCCGAACGTTTTGAATCACTGAAATTGCTTTTTTCCTCGAAGAGTATGTAATTTCCCAACGCACAATCAGTATTAAAATCATGTTAACTTCAGATTCCTGGAAGTGCTCCAAGAGTTTGGGAATGCATGAGTAGGGAAACACGGGGCTTTCCAAGGCTCTGTAGTTTGGAAGAGACCGTTCTCAAAAGCTTTTCCTTATTCAATGGCACAGATTCCTGCTAGAATATAGATAAAACAATAGTGATGTTTTGTGATTCGTTTCTTCAAAATCATAAAGTTTTGTGCCATATAATAGTTGTTTTAAATTTCTAAATCTTCAATTATGTATGGTAAAAACGTGACTAAAAATATTTACTTATTGGATTATGATCTATTTGTGATATCGAAGTTGTTAAAAATATTGTTAATGTGTTAGCTTATACATTTAACATGTTACTTTTTTTAGTATGTTTCAAAACTTATAAAATGACTTGAAAGATAATAAAAGAACTTTTATTAAGATTGAAGTCATATTAGAATATATATTAATAAGAATGTAGTATTGTTGCAATGTATATATAGTTTGTAGATTTCTTTTTGTAAGATTTAAAACACAATTATTAAAAAAATTATAGTATAAATGTATTTTTGAACTTAACATAAGTTTAAATTAATATTTTCATACTTAAAATGACAACATTTGTAAACAATTGTGATATTGATAATCTAGTTTAAAACATGAATTTTGGAAAATATTTAATTAATCCCAACATTTATTAAATTGGTCCATATATCATCACAGATTAGTACATAGATTGTTAAGGTCTTTTTTGTCATTATAACAATTATGAGAAGTTGCATTGATATAATTTTAGTTATTAGGATATGATAATTATAAAATCATAGAAATATGATCAATAATATAACTTCAAAATTAATGGCTCCAATAAATTATAAGCGTGCAATGCTATGTCTTAATAATCTTCATTTTGCATACTTTATTATTTCTTTGAGTTTTTACAACTCTCTACTAATTTACCTCGCTTTGATACAATATTAGTCTTCTAATCCTTTGTTGCTTTGAGAAAGGAGGCATAAGACATTGTTGATTTTGGAATTTTTTTTAATTTTAAAATAGAAAACTCATTCAACATAAATCTTCTACTACATGGTTTATTTGACATATTTGAAGGTATAAAGAGAAGTGTAGATAGATTTGTGCACGCCTAATAATATGTTGATTCTAAACATTGTTCTAACAAGGCCTCCATAGTCTTCAAATGTAATAAAGATTGCACTTAAAATATGCTAGATGTAAACTTACATTTTCATTGTAGCATAATTACATGTCTGACAAGCTCCTTGTTTGAGTTGTATGCATGTTGTTTGCATATTGATAAATATTGGCATTTAAGAATTTGAAATGGACATCATAATCACAAACCTTTTGTATCTCTAATAGGACATTCCATGGCTTGGTTACAAAGTTGATTTCAACTTTGGTAAGACATCTAAAGATGAGTATCCTTGTCTATATTCTATTATTTCTATAATTATAACTATGATAAAATTTTGCCATGATTGTGACCATGATAAAAATTGACTAATCATTTTTTCATTGGTTGCAAATCTAACAACAAAGAATTGAATCTAGACATGATTTGTTTTTTTAATAATGGCTAGAATGGGTGCATTAATTTAGTAGATGTTGGAATTGATTTAACATTCTTCTAAATTTTAGTATTCTTATTTTTTTATTAATTGGACGTTCTTCTATAATCAAAACATCCAAATTTAAAATAAACAATATCAAATAAACTTGACTGTTTTAATATATGTATTTAAAAAACTACAATAATATATTTTTATTTTAAAAAAAAATTAAGATAAACCTATTTATAATACATAGAAAAAAATTATCTATTTCAAAATACAAGAAGATTATTAATATTACCAATAATCAAGAATTTTATTTATTCTTAAGGTATTCACGAATTAAGAAAAAATCAACAATTCTATTCATCATGAACCATAAGATATTGCTTAAAGTACATAGTAACTAATATCAATACATTTTTATTGATTCATTATTTTTTCCTTTTTTAATTACATCTTCATCTTATGAAAATAATATCCAAAAAGCACCACTATAGTATTTTGTAGCTAAATTCTTCATCGAAAAAAAAATTCCGCTCTAGAAACTCTAACACATTCACAAAGGAAATGTGTGACCTGTGCTATTGAAATGGATTCAAACTCTAGCACATTCACAACAGGTGGGGGGATTCCACGACACCGAGCGTGACCACCGAAGCTAACAGTGGGGGATTCTGCGACACCGAACCTGGAAGCCCTAAAATATAAAGTCGTCACACACGGTGTCGGTAGCTCTGTCGCTTTTGAAATCGCAGGAGCCCTTTGTCTTGTGGGACCGGATTGCTTCATGGTCTGAAGCAGACCAGCGTCGCGTCGATTGGTAACAGTTTTTCCTGTAGATCCACGCTTTCAGACACCGAAATTCTCCACCTATCTGAGCTCTTCACAACCACGTTACGTCGCGTATGCGTGGATCCGCATCGGAGAGGAGCGATTTGTCTTTTATTCAGACGATCAGCATTGGAAATTGCTGCATATGGGCGAGGAAATTGTAGCGGTGAGTTGATGCTCGGCACCCAACGAGCCGTAGCAAGCCGAAGAGCTCCGTCCGAATTGGATTGGAGTAACGCTGGTGGACTCTGAGTAGGAAATAGGCGTGCTCCAGTGCACTGCGTGAGCTTCGCAAAAGCGACTGGTGGACATTACAAGAGTGATACATTCCAAAGCAATCCACAGTAACTTTCTGACGAGTTTTAGGAATTTCGTAGGCAATGCGCTCTCTCCGGTACTATAGATTGCATAGCTTGTAGTGTTGTAGTACATTGTACATGCAGCGTCATCGAACGTGAAGTTGCTGATGGCCATCGTCGACGTGAGCGCCTGCGCATCGACTACTACTCGCGAATGATCGCAGTAACGTCTCTGGCAAATTCTTCTGAGTTTTGTTTTTGTATGGGTGGGGTCAAGTCCCTTTAGTTTACCTTCAGTTGGGTGGTTTATGGGTGGGTCTACATCAGAATTTGGTTGAGTGTGGACATTCTGAGGTCGCCGTATGTTGGGTTGTTCCTCTTGATGATGGAACTGACTATCTCTAGTTCGGTTTGTTTCGTGGCGCACTTTCGATTGTGTGCATTTGATTGAAGGGGAATGTCGACCTTTCCTGGGGTTTGGGTTTTGGCTTTGATGAAAATGAGTTGGGTGATGTAACTAGAAGCCGCTCTTTCTCGTTTCTCCTGATGTATAGTCATTTGTTTGGTATTATTCAAGTTGGTGTTCATGTGGGAGATAGCGAAAGAAGGCAGTGGTCCCTTCATGTCGTGTCTCTTGAGATGGTATGTGGCGAAAGTTAGTTTTCCTCGTTCTATGGTGTCAATTATAATTCGGAGTGTGTGTTGTCGTGGGTTTAAAGTCCACATATTTTGGCCGATAGCTTCAGGTATTATGGATTAGGGTTTCTTGTCCTTGTTGGCACTCTTCGTTGCAGAGGCTTTGGCTGTGAGCAAGGCAACTATTATTACCCATCATAACTTGCTGCTTATAGTCGCTTTTCCAACTTCCTATGACGTTACCCTTCAGGGATTATCCCCCGATTCTAATTGTTTTCTGAGAGATACTGCCCTAATTGTCTTCTTTTGTCCCATATCCTGACTGTTCTCTTGCTATTAGTCGACGGTAATTGATGAGACGATCAATTTCTTCAGTATATTTGATTCTTTCAATCTTTTTCTGTGGCGTAGCAAGGCATGGGAAGCAGATGTGGGGATTGCTCGGGAGTTTCTGGTGAAGGGGACTACGAATTTTGGTATAGGTATCCGTATCACCGTAGTGCATATAACAGCTGACATGTAACAATGACATGTGAAAGGTTCATGTCCATAATGTCATCGTTATATGCATTACGGTGATGCTCGAGATATTCAGGTGAATTGAATGCTCAAACTCGGACATCTAGTGTTTGATTTTGTGGTAATCTTCGGATATCACATCTCTATTCGGGCCGTTTCAGTAAGAGTTGCCTCTGGTATACACAACTTGCCAAGATGATCCCCGTGGCAGTGGTGGTGCACCTGCTTGAGGAGTGTAGCAATTTGGTTGTGCGGCTCCTGGCATGGTCGGTTCGGGCAGCTCCTTTTTCCAGGCGTGTTCGGCAAGTGATTCTCCGGAGGCTTTTGTCGGATCCCTCTCCAACGTAAGTTGCTAGAGTTAATATCACTACATAAAGATAAGCCTACGAAGCTTCGAAAACCGAGACATCATGGTTCATGAGGGTATCAAGTTGAAAGCTCTCCATAACCTATTGCTGGAGAAGCCTGACACATTGCATCAAAGAAAAAGCAGTGGCAGATAGGAACCTGAACATGGAGCAGGAAACCTTTGTGCGGTGCTTCTTAACGACACATTCCAGGTTCTTTTTACATGGTATTTTGACTAAGAAATCCGAAGCTAACTATCAGTCAGTTCTGGTGAGTGGTTTCCCCAAGTCCACCTTCTCGTAGCTGAGTCCCTCCGAACCGAATGCAGCCTTAGCTTATAAGAATTGGTGAGGTCAATCGTAGCAATTATATATTGTTGCTTTTCAAAAAAATATACTAAAGTGGGCATAAGAAAAAGCATCAGTGTTTTGGCCATGTGTCTAGCAAATGGTGGAGTATGGAAAGCCCGTGGTGTTTATAAACAGTTGACACAAAGGATTGAGTGTGAATAAAAGTACGTTTGACAAGAAGGGTCGTTCTGAAGCCTCCCATCCGATGGATGAACCGAGGAGAATGGACCCTCTTTCTATCCCACTGATGAAAATGTCCTAGAAACATTACAAGTGATTTATTTTTCTTCTCACTTTTTACTTTATTACTCATGTAAAATTGGCCTCAAACTTGATTTCCTAGATCATATATGTAGATCACCTGCATTGAAATAGACATTGAAGCGCAGATGTCTCATATTAACCTATATCCAGTATTGTTTATGGTCGAGGAGGGCTCAAGAGGTGGTGCACTAGTTGACGGGCTTCCGAGTATTTTCTCACAGCGCTGGATGGCGACACCTACTAGTAGGTGTGAGAATATGAAGAAGTTAAAAAAACGTGAATGTAGTCGATCTAATATAAATTCGGTTCAGTGGGTGGTCTTTTGGAATAGAGCTGCAGCTACATGGATGAGCATTTTTAGTGAAAAGAAAACCAAAAACTCGAGCTAAAAGGGATAAAAGATTAAACGTATGATGTTGAGTGGAAGACGATCTAAAATTATTCATTAACATCTGCTAAAAATTATGCACTGAAATCTCTCCACCTCACTGCGACCTGCAGATTATTCTCTAGCGTTCTGCCATGAGGTACCTTACACAATATTTTCAAGTTCGATTCTCTGGAACATTGGCAATCCTTGTAATTTCCCCTTGAATATGAGATGGCAACAGCATCAAAAAGGAGGAGGATTGACGTATTACCCAGAACCTTGCGTACAGAGCCAATGCCATTTGTGACTCTGGTGGACGTGTCGTTGTGCACCACACACACATCCTTGATGGAGTGCGATAAGTCCTACAGATTCTGCATCAGAATTTCCAAATCAACACCCACTCCTCACTCGCAGTCCGCTACATCCACATCGAAGTTGTAGCACTGCAAAGGGTCAATTCCGAGGAGATTGAATTGTCCTAGTCGGATGAAGATTGTCTTGTCGAAAGGGGAAAATGTGTTCTTCAAAGCACTTTCGCACGCCCCAGTCCCTAACAAGCCGAATCAGACTAATCTCACAACCCATGTCCAATATGCTCAGAGGACCTAAACACGAAGCCTCACTTATAATGCAGCTAGGGCAAGCTACTCCTGCCTCTAATCAAAGAAATTAGTCTCCCAAACTGCAGGTGGGACTGACGATAACGGAACAGTGCCCTTCATTTGCGGCTCTTCACCCACGCCCAGTTAGTAGCATCGACTAGGGCTCAGTTAACGAAATGTCCAAAACAAGACTCTGGGTTCATTTGAATAGACACATCAGTGATGCGTTACGTCAAGGGCAGGCCTTTCAAAATTTCCACATCTGCGCAGCATCAACCACTGGAAACAGACAGCAGATATGAGCATTAAGAATGAGTACATGTCAGACTGAGAAGAACTGGGAGTCGACCTGTGGTGTGGAAGATAAAAGAGGTAGCAGTCGTTTTACTTAAGATCTGTTTCACATCGTCAATGTCAGATTTCTGACGTTGGCGGTGGTCCTCGTTGCTGCGGATCATGGCTCGCAAGATGGGCTCCTGAACATCAGTCAGGAACAAATAGGTGGTTCCGCTCAGGCGCAGGGTAAAACACCATGGCTTAGAGCGCTCAAACACAAACACAAAACTTAGCAAAGGGAACTGTCTGCGACCCTCACTTATTCCTCGAAACAGCTAGCACAACATCAGTGATTGAATGAATGCGTTGAGTGAGCGCGAAGTGTTAACTGTTGCCGGAGCACGGAAATCAGATATTTTTGCAGCTAAGCAGTGTCAGATCAGGAATGTAGGATGACGAGGAGTCCAGGATCAAGGGATGGGGCTTCACTCAGCAACTACTGTCAGCGAGTGGCCTTGCTTTCAACTCATGAGCTCTAGTTTCAACCGGAAAGGTGCGGCATGGGCTTTGTTTCACACTCGGTGACGTTACACACGGTATTTTCTGATGTGCACAGTTGTGAAGGATGGGTTAGAGATCGACAAGCTACGGAATTCAAGCACTGAAACACACTGGTGGCACAAGACTATGTGTCGGTATATCGACAAGAGGAATCACCGTGTTCAGAACTGAAAATGTGAAGGTTGACAGGGTTCCGCTACCATCTGCTTACTAGGATGCAGTGCAGCTCTAGACATAGAATCTGGAACAGCTGCCCATAAATTCTTATTCTCAAGCAATTACTTTCATCCGGGGGTCTCGGCGATCGCTGCGAACGTGGACAACTCGGGCTCTCTGGTCCGATTGAGGGCGACGGACGGGAGGGGATGTAACTCAGATGGTAGAGCACAGATGAAATTAGGGTGGTGACGGCGAGACGTCAACTCCGATGTGCCCGGCGCCGTGACGGCGTGGGCGCAAGAATCTGAAAGCCGTCATAGCTCAGTTGGTAGAGCAGAAGTAGGGAGAGGGCGATGCGGAGCGGGCGGCGGTGACAGCGGAATGCCTGAGGGGCAATGGCGAGGACGATAACACAATGGTGATTAAGATTTGCTCAGGCGACACAACTAACCTAACCATGCTCTAATCTCAGACTCTAAACAATATTAGCTGCCAGTCACGAGTTAGAATTAGGGCTCGTATTCATCCCTGCCTCCAATCAACCACAGTGCGATGACCAGTTTTCTGTAAATCAGTGACACTAATGACAATGGTGCAGAGCACTGCTCCTCATGTAGGGGAGTAGCACCTAATGCTAGGTCGCACCTCATCAATTTGGAAAATACGAGAACACCTTCTCGGATTGTTAAGGAATGGATTGTGTAGTACTGGCCAGACGCCCGTGCAACATGCTCCCCCAAGTCCAAGGATCGGGGATAATGCAGCACAGTCAACAAGCAATACGGACACCCTACAGGTGATGTTTTCTCCAGAGGAACTCCTTATCATTAATGCAATTTGTTAACAGACCATGCAATGCAAGGTCTAGGGTTTTGTCCCATGCAAAAGCCCAAGACACGCCACACTTCAAGAGTGGGCCTTTTCCATCCTACACAATTCGATCAAGACCTGCTCCCTTGTGGGGTGGGATTTTTTTTGAAATAATCTTTACCTCTCCAGAGAAGGTATACCATGTCTTCCATTCGATCTTCAAATTCGAGGGAAGGAAAATCCCATTCACCTCATGGAGCTTCCACTTCTTGGCAATCAATGTAGAGACATATAAATATCTAGCCTATTCAATATGGATATAGTTTCTAGGATTAAGCTAATATCTTTGAGACAAACAATGCATGAGGATCTTAACATCCAAACTTGGATAAGTATTGCTTGTAGAAGAAGCATCCTTATATGTATGCAAGACATCATGCCCAAGAATGAAGATCCTAATATCAAACATAACCAAGATCCATAGTAAAATTAGCTTGCCAAATATTACCACTTCTTTACAAAGTAATAATATTTGGGCATCCAAATCAATGCACAAAGATCCATAATAAAATTAGCTTACCAGGTTTGATCCTTAAAACACCACTTCTTTACAAAGTGATAATATTCAGGCATCCAAATCAATGCACGAAGTTCCAAAATAAAATTAGCTTGCTAGGTTTGATCTTTAAAACACCACTTCTTTACAAAATGATAATATTTGGGCATCCAAATCAATGCACAAAGATCCATAATAAAATTAGCTTGCTAGATTTGATCCTTAAAATACCACTTCTTTACAAAGTGATAATATTTGGGCATCCAAATCAATGCACAAAGTTCCAAAATAAAATTAGCTTGCTAGGTTTTATCTTTAAAACACCACTTTTTTACAAAGTGATAATATTTGGGCATCTAAATCAGTGATAATATTACATCGAGACCAAAGTGATACAAAGTGATAATATTTGGACATCCAAATCAATGCACAAAGTTCAAATAAATAGGCCATATATCAATAGACTTGAGAAAACTAGCACATTCACAATAATATTACATTGAGACCAAAGACAAGATCTCAATTGCAATAATGATGGACAGCCTACGACTCTAATAAAAAATAGTTGTTTCACCATTAATTAACAAGATGGAATACCATCTATTCTCATCACCTAGATAAGCCACCACCTATAGAAGTTTACAATTCTTCCATCTTAGAGGCACAACTCAAATAAAAAAATAAAAATACAATAGCACAATAAAGAGATCCTACCATTAAAATTGACGCTAGTGATAGCCACCAAAATGAAGTCAATAGTCTTGTAGGATGAAGCCTTCTCATGATAGAATCTAAATACACCCTCTACATTGAACATAGTCTATAGTACCATGCTAATAAAGACACCACTAAAATAACAAAAAAATAATAGTTAAACAAATCAACCACAAGGACTATAAACAATCATTATAACACTGCCTAGGAATCATCCCTATACAATCTTCTTTCCTCACAAAATGAAGTGTTATAAAAAAATACCACACCTAGTAGCCACCAGTAATTCTACCACGTTGCTAGAAACTAGATCCAACTTTCAATTTGTATAGAAAAAACATAGTACAAGAATTCAACATCTCCAAAAAAAATATCTGAACCTAGATTCTATAGATTCAAATACCAATAAAAGAGGTCATTAGATATCTATCTTATTCAAAGTCTTTTTTATAAGCAATCCATATGATTCCATCTGCTCACATACAAACTTATAGATGTCAAGTCTTTTCCATCCTAATTACCATCTTGGGAAGCCCCTATTACTTCAATATGTTGGCATAGGTAAGTATGATAAGTAAACAATATGTGGCCTACAAATAGACTATTGTACTAGAAGATTAAATAGAATAAACAAGTAAACAAGCTAAGACATTAATTTTCAACAAGATGGCCCAAGCCATCTCAAGAATAATTGTAAATATTCACAACAATATAAATTCCTTCAGAAGGTGGAATGATGTCATATGGAGCTACAAATAGAAATAAGAAGATGACAAAATCAATCATTGTATCTATTTTGTATTTATACAAGTCCTTCTTCTAGAAATAAAACTACAAAAACTATGTAGATACTTATGGATTAATTTAGCTTCCATGCTTTGGAGCTTCATTTCACCATACAACAAAGAAATTCAAGGAACAATCCATCCTTTCTCCATCACAGTTGCAAAATCAATCCAAAAACTTTTAGACATAAGCTAATTTGGCCCA